GGTTGTTCATACTAAACTTTTCTTTCAGTGCAATAAGGCGAGGTAGGTATATACTTAAATTAAGTGTTTTCTAGTCAAAGATAGTTTCACGCCGGGATCCTCGTCAGGATCCTTCTTTTCGAAAATGGGGCTCGCATATTTTTTAGCGTTGCCGGGGGGTCGTGGTGATCACCTTATTTCTTTTTCTCCCCTCGTCTTGACAGCATCGGATCGTGTGAGGCATGTACGTGAGACGGCGACCCGACTCGAGACCCCCTTAAAACCGAAAACATATGGCGTACAATTACGACGTAATGGTATATAATTAATGGAATTCGCTCAAGGGATCCCCTCCCCTCCCCTCCCCCACTCTCCCTCTAGGTTGTTATACGGCACGCTTGTTTCCTCGAACGGCAAAGGGAACTGCGAGTCCACGTGAGCGGGGCTCAACGAGAGATCCGACCTGTGAATAAAATTTTCATCGTCCGCGTGCATATATACTTTACTCACACCGTGCACGTGTATGCATGTATATCGGGCCGCGCTCACATTTTGCATGCCACGGGACTATAAGAGGGCAGAAAATTGCCAAGAGTTCAACATACTAATTTCCGATGTCACGAACAGTATCCCGGCGGCACCAATAACTTCTCCGATTGAACGTAAAAGACGAAACGAAAAAGGGGGGAAAAAACCTGGAAAACCTGACCGAATGCGTAAGCCGTGTATGTCTCAGCTTATTTATTACAAACAGTTATTTTATTTTCGGCTCTCTCTCTCTCTCTCTCTCTCTCTCTCTCTCTCTCTCTCTTTATGCCGAGTACCAGTCACATATTCAACACGGATTCTCGAGTATGACGTTTAATGATCGATTCGTTCCGTGCAGCGCAACGAGGTAGCTGGAGAGTGACATCCTTAAAATTCCCTTCCTCGGCACGGAGCAGTCAGATCTCATCGCGAAGATCGTTTAGGTAGTATCTCGAGGCATTTCCTTAAGTATGTCGATGTGTACTCGTCAGCCGGATGAGG